ACATTCTGTAGTCAGAACTCACTTAGAATATTGTGTAGAATTTTGTACACCATATTACGAAACATATTGCTGGTCTAGAATTAGTCCAGAAAATACAAAACAGATATATTCTGGGACTTGAAGGAATGTCATACAATACACTGACAGGTCAAAAGAATCTTCTCAGTTATGAACAGAGAAGATTATGATTGGACTTGATCCAAGTATTCAAAATCCTCAAAGTTACTGATGAAGTCAACTCAGAGGACTTCTTCAGAATCAACAAAAAAATATAAACCAAAGGGTATACAGTAAGTGGAGTCTACAGTAGGTCAAAGTGCATTTAAAACACAGAAGATTATTTTTTATACAAAGTTGTTGGAGTATGGACAAGCTACCCAGTCACATTGACGAAGCCTACAGTACTGTATATCTTGAACTCCTTTAAAAAGGAGATACTTGGATCAATTAACTATTAACTACCAACAGGCTAGATGGGCTTCATCTTGCTTGTAGCTGTAATAATGTTCTGAAGAATGTCTGTAAATGAGAGGAGCCCATTCTACCCAATTAACTTGGTTGGTCTTGCTTGATTGTTAGTTACTAACTAATCTGAGTTTGTCTAATTGTCTTAGTTAACAGTCCAGTTATAATAATAATGGTATATAAATTTTCATTTCTAATAAGGAAGATTCTCTAATCATTAATTTACTGACTTACATGATATAATGTTCCTATTTTAATGAATGTATGAATAAATGTGGAGGACACTCTATATTCATATGTTCTATGAAGGTGGCAGCTACTTAAAACTCCACTGAAGTAACATACGGTATTATGAAAGTAATGTATTCTAAGCATGAACTTTACATCAGTACAAACAAGAGTTTTTGTCATTATCATATTTATTCCAGACAATATGTCTTGATCCAAAACTGTTTTCTTAGTTCTTAGTTATTTAATAATTATTTAACTGACTAACCCCTAATTATACTTAATTATGTAATTCAGTGATATCTCATCCAGTGTGTATCCTGCCTATATTCCATTCCTTGCTGTACTGGATAAAGCAGTTAGAAAACAGATGGGTGTATTCAGTGAAGACTTCAGGTTAAATTGACGGAGAATGAGACTGATATAAGAACATATTGCACTCCATGATCAAGGATGGGAATCACTGATTGAGAGCTTTCTATCTGGTGAAGAGCTAAAGTGTCTTCAAATGACGGTGAAATTGTCATCATACTGTACATCGCAGTAGATGATGAATTTATTATTAGACCTCCTCTTATACTTGAGAGGTCTAAAGAGAAATTCACATTTTCATGTAATGCTATCTTGATCATGTACTGTATGGACTAATATTCTTCTACATTATTCAGTAGGTCTATAGTCTTTTTTTCAAAATCAAAAGTGAATCATGAACAGAGGATACATATTGAAACTATAGTAGTTTTAGTTTTAGATACAGCACTAGGAATTTTATCTAAAATGAAGAACACAATCCACTTTTTTACACAAGGTTTTGGTCACTAGCAGAAAACTACCCAACCCTGCTGTTAAAGCCGAAACCCTGGCTAATCTGAAGAAACATCTGGATGAGATGCATCAATTAAAAACTACTAGCAACCAGATGAGTAAGATGGGCCGCTTGGCCTCCTCTGATTTGGAACCTTTCTTACTGTGTTTTGTATTAGGATGTAGTTTAGAGTGTTTATGGGCCACTTGATTGACTTCCTGGGTTATGGATACTTTGGTAGTCTCACACATTTGCATAAAATTCCATACCTGCTCATTAGCCTTTGTCTCATACCTGTTCATTAGCCTTTATCTTTATCTTGTGATACATAACTGTGCAATTTTATGTTATCTCCTCTTTGTGAGACCTCAGAACTTGAACCATGAATTTATGCAAAGTGAAAAAATAGAATGTTATTCTTATTTTTATTGGCTTGGGATTTCATGATTTTCTGACCATTAGTTTGTCTAAAATGACTCAACTTTACAGCATTTTAACTTTTGAAAGCTGGTGTGATTATTCTCATTACACATTTTGGTAGCATTTCCATTTCTTTATATCTTTTCATTTGAAAAGTACTTTAGTCCATTTTTAAATTTTAGTCCATAAACTTCCCTAGAGCTACAATAAATAATTCACAATATACCCACCCTTCTATCACTATCTTACAGTCTCTCTTTTTCTCTTTTGTTCCATTTTACAGAGAATTTGATATTTCACAGCTCACACCATCTAGGGTGAGTCATATAATAAAATATTATAGGTTTGCAGTGTTTTAGACCTCTCTAATTCCAGTCCATGTTTTTTAGTGTGCTGTCGCCTATGTTGAGCTCTGACGCAGCAATTGCCCTAGCAATCTAAACGGTGCAGAGAATTAAAAAAAAACTGCTGTGCCTAAGAATACTGCAGCCTCTTATCCATGTCCATGTGTGAGAATGTCTGATGGCTATTGGATGTGTTGGTAATTCCCTGGATCACATACTGTATTCTGCCCCACCCAGAATGGGGCATTCCTGTCTATTGCTTTCATTCTGAAGGAGGTGGACTTGTTATTCTGAAATCCTTCCATAATAAATAATTTTAATTAAATAATTTGATACTTTTCTTTTGGAGCTATTGTATCGATCAGGATTTCCTCTATTTTCCTTTACTATTTCTGCATATGAGAGTAATCAGTACATTTGAGGCTGACAAAATTAGCTCAGATTACAATTTTTAATTACAGTAGCTGCAAATTACAACCCCAGTTCTTGATGGTGGCTTTTAGTTTGCCATAGGCTGTTTTATTACATTCATTAAATACTGTAATTTCCAGTTAACAGGAAGGAGAATGGATGAAATTTAGTAGGGCTTCCAAGATGTGTCTGAAATACTTCCAACTTTCAAGTGTCTGAACAACTAGACACTTGCTTAGAGCACAGGCTGAACCCAGTGTTGCAGACATCATCCATGTAGGTTTGGGTTATGTGATTATCTGACTGTGGATAGTGTAGTGTTGGAGTGTGTGGCTATCACTATTATGGTATCTCTCAAGACACAGCCCAGTTCATTGAGCTTGTAACATCTGCTCCTGTCCATGCTGACACTTTTGTAAGGCACTGTAAAGTTTGTAGCATATACAACATTGCACATTCGTCACTGATTCAACAATAGGCATGTCAAAAAAGAGTATTTACAGTTTACCCTGTGCTGCTGTGGAGGTTGTAGCAAAGCAGAATTCAACAAATGACTGAATTTCAGATTGTAAGGTTATGAAATAGAAAAATATTTATATTCCAAAGTATTATGAAAACAATGTTTAAAATGATTTAACCAGTAGTCCAGTGGTCAGCACAAGTAATAAATTGTAATAAAAATACAATTTTTTAAAAGATGTTTTAAGACCATCTACGGACATCACATCAAAACACTGAGCTTCATACACTAATGGGAAATGATGAGGAAACCAGAACATGTGGAGAAAACATGTGGCACATACAGTACAGATTTCACGCAGAAGGTGCCCCCAGTCCAAACGTGAACCCAGAAGCTGAGCGACAACAACACTGATCACCACACCACAGCACTATTCTTCTGCAGTGCTAGTAAATGGATAATTTTTAAGAGACAACTTTATGAGAAATGTATTAATTAGAATTCAGTCTCTTGAGGTTTGAAATGAGGTCATGATGATAATCAAATAGTAACAGTGAATTAATCCAGGAAATCAGTGATGTAAACAACTCACAGAACAACACGTTGGCTAATACAGATATTTATTTTGTTTTTGTCCGTCCTTATGGAATATAATTTTTGTGCAAAACAGATACTATATACTCACTGGTGTAATATCAGAATGAAACAGTTAATTATATAACCTAAATAATATGAGTCCACTAAACTGATTCCAAATTTGTGGGGATTTGGTCCTCAGCAGGCAAATCAATAGTGGCTTTTGAGCACTGACTGTATAAAGCCTGAAGGTCACATACAGTATCTGTGTAATATGAAAACAGTGAGTGACACTTTCAATGAAACTTCTGCTCCTTCCTACTGTACCTAAACTCCAAGAATAAACAACGTAACTTTACATTTTCTCCTGTCATCTGGTTTTGCACACATGACACAATCTAAAACACATCTATGGAAAAATGAAATCGGGATTAAATTCCATATCACTACCATGGTGAGACAGTTTGCATTCCCTTTTGTAGTCTGAAGTGCCAAGGAGATTCCTGGAAGAAAAAACCACTGCTTCAGTAGTACAGTAAGACAACCTCATAGTGAAACATAAGACAGATATCTCTATGTGGAAATCTATTTAAAATGTAAATTTAAAGGTGGAAATGCATTCAAAACTGAAACAGGAGGCACTTTCTTTTACACAAAAAGTTATGAGAGTCTTTAGAACAAGATCCTCAGCATACTATCAAATCTGACAGCCTGAGTTAATTTAAGAAGTGGCTGGGTGGGATATGGATCAATTAGTTCCTAGTACCGAAGTGAGCTACAGTGATTGAACAGCCTTCTCTTGCTTGTAAAGTTTCCTGTATTTTCACTACCACTTCACCTTCTACACATAGCTAGGCTTGACGAACTCGTTTTTTTAAAAGAAAAGGGCAGGCTTTGAGACAGAAGACATTAATGGCCATCCACCAGCTACAGTAACCTCTAAGGAGCTACTGTATGGAGAAATGTTGTCTGTGTTTAAGGAAATGAATCCTGGTCTATGTGACCCATTCACATTTGGCTACATGGTGATGCTATACAGTACATCCCTATGTTTTTATTTTGTGTCTGTAATGAATTGCTTTTGTAATTTCATATAGATACAAACGGTGATTTTCAGGATTTAGGTCTTTTGTATCTGAAACATAACCATTAGGACAAACATTTACATAAATAAAAAGCTCATAATACAAAAGATCTCTTAGGACTGATCGACTTCCATAGTTATGTGCTTGCGTTTCGGTAGAGGGCACTCTCTTGCCTGGTGACTGCTATATGATGCAATGATATCCACATCAGCAGTGTACCTCAGGAGTAAAAATATTTTGCTGCCTCCTCACAAAGCGCTTTTTACAGGAACTCCAGCCCGTATATTACGACTGACCATAACCAGGAGAACCCCAGTTAGCATCACCGGTCGCTTCCAGTCCGTTTTGAGCGGACAGTAATCAGAGGTGTGCCCTTCACAGATATCACGCTATATATGCTGCCAGCGTTTCTCTTTATTGTAGGCTGAGAACATCTTTCAAGGACTTAAATAAATGGTGTTCTTCAAAAACCGCCGAAGGTCATTGAACTTTGATTGCAACGCACTGTTATTCTTCCGAAACGGAGGATTATTTCCAATTCCCGTCGAGTTGGGTGAGAAAACATTTTTTATTGTGTTGTTTGATATTTCTGGACGAGTCGGCAAACTGTACCGCATATACAGTACAACAATGCCATATGTAAAATATTTGTTTTTTTTTTTATGGTAGCGCTGTAGGAAATGGAAATGCCTTCAAATTCAATATGATCTATTCAGAGTTTGGTATTCTAATGGTTACTGAACTGTAGATTCTGATAAAGCAGGTATGCTTAGTTTATTTGGTGTGTACAGTACAGTATTTTAAGCTAATGACAACTCCAATCATTTAGCTAAAATTGCGAAAGTCCTAATAGTTTGTCCTCTTATTGTTACTGTTTTCTCAAACCGCATGTTTGCTATAAATACCAAAAAAAACTCCGTTAGTGGAGAAGTAGGTAATCTAATATCCACCTGTTGCTATACAGTATGTCCCCATGTCCCCAGTAGTGGACAATAAAAACGCGCAAGAGATTAAAATTACAGCTCGTCACAGTATTGACCATGGGATCACAACGCACAGTAACCCGTTTATGTAATCTCGTCCACTCACAATAGACTTGTAAAGATAAATTCGTCATGTTTCTAATTGCAGCCATAAGCTTTATTTATTTTATTCCATCAAATTGTGTAATGGATGGTGTTAAAAATACAGGTACAGTAGGTGTTTTTTACTTTTACAAAAAATATATATATATACCTGAAGGATATTTACAAAGAGCGTGAAGGACAACTGCAGATTTTAAGATTACAGTTTATGTTCGTAATTACAAAAACAAATGCATGATTTGTTAATATAATTTCACTTGTGTGGGGACTGTAATTTGACCTGATGTTCCCCATTTTAGGATAATTTTGATTTCACATTCAGTTGCGTGCACTTTTTATAAAAAGGTACAGGCAGCTTAAGTATCTTCCTGCAGTGTATTTCTCTAGAAGAAGAAAGTGGGAATTAAGTGGTTATACATGTATAAAGTAATCTTTGCAACACTTTAGTTTTCTACTGCAGCATAGGGCAACATGACTGGAGGGAGTCTGTGAATGCACTCGTGGAACTGGCCATTCCCAACAGCACAATCTCTGGCATGGATGCATTTCAAGGTCACAAAATCATTTATTTTGTCTGAGGCCTGGTCCTTAATGGTCTGGGTTTGGAGCTCCTTCTTTAGGATCCGATGCGTGGAGTCAGATACTATTATAGTCCCTCCCAGTGGACTTAACTTTAAGTCATGAAATAAGCATATTGGTCTGTGTTGCATATACAGTTTATTATTTTCTTCTTCACTGAAGTTCCATCCAACACATCTCCAAACTTAGATATTTTTTGATGGCAGCTTATGTTCAGAACTCTTCCAAAAAAAAAATCTTCCATAAACTGGTAGCTGTTTATAAAGTACCAAAAGGTACCCATTGCAATAATGAAATTAAAACTGAAAAGTGAGAGAACCAGAACTGATCCTTTTGTTAAGCTTCAGGCTAAAAAAGGCCAACCTGTAGCAGATCAGGCTTAACGGTTGGATCCAGAAGGAAGATATACTGTAGTCGATACAAACAATTGAGTGAACTGAGAACAGCTTCTGGTATCACAATTCTCCCAGGGTATAAGAGATCTCGCGCTTAGGGGTTAGGGCTGCCTCACTTCAGTGGCTTTGATGAACTAGGAAGTTTCCTTCTTAAAACATGAGACTGTAAAGTTGCAGATTGGCTAGAGTAGAATACTCAAGAAAACACCACTCACCTAAAGACACTAAAGAGACAAACAGTGAATTGTGCAGAACCTGCCTAAAGAAAACATGGGCAACCTCAGAGCACCGGTAGCAGCACAGAAGAAGCACTTCGGGCTTAGGGAGAGTATAACAGGGACGAAACTGTCACAGGACTACCATACAGAAAGATCTGGAGAGAGCCTGGTCAACATGCCACCCAGTATCAGGCCAAGAGCAAGTCTAGCAGTAATTTCATTAGGGTCTAGGGAGTCCAGAAAAACCTAGCCACCACAGTGACCCAAAACCTCGCAGGTTGCAGTGCTAATGATTCAAGAATGGCATTAAGTGACCAACTGTAGACACTGTGATGAAGACCATTCTTTTCCTGTCGTTCATCATCTGGCAGATGAATTTAGTCTCTCTAATTAAAGGTTTCTGACATTCAGCGCAGACAACTCTACTACTTGTGGGAAGTGACGGCAAATCTGAATAAAGGGAGAACTGAGGACCCAATGCTATTTAAAACTGCCCTGTTTTTCAGCTACAGTAGGTTAACTTGATGGCCTTCCTGTCTTGGATGTTGGGCTCATCTTGGTGAATCAGAGCATTCTTAGTGGGCAGAAAAAAAGAGCAAATTCAAGCTGTTGTACAATTAAAAAATTTAACTGAGGAGATGTTAGCTGTGACCTTTTCCCTGCTGCAAATTATTATGCCTCTTTACAGACTCTTTAAACAATTAGTTTCTGTATTTATTTTGCTTCTCCATTAAATATCAAAATGTTACACTCCTGAGATATATATAGGGATCTTTGTGAAACCAATTACTTTTTCAGTTTGTGACCACAAATTCAGCATGCTGCATACAGTATCTGTATATAATTTAATTTTATTACATTTCTCAAGCTCGCTATTAAATTACCTTATGCCAAAATGCCTACTGAAACCTGACTGTAAACATTGCTTGTAAAAGTGTTTGGAGATTTTTGACGAAAGTCTTTTCTACACCTTTTGTGACCCAGACCATCCATTGTGTCTTTTTCCATTTTTGTTTCCAGAAAAAAAAACAGAACAGATTCTGTGAAAATTTGGAGAAGTACTGACTTTACTTTGTCATACTTGCAGTATTCATGAAAAAATATACAGTGTACAATATGAACAGAACCATGTTTATATAGTGTCTTCAAGTCCATCTAATACTAACAAGATAACTAGCAATTAAACCAAAATTGTATTTTATATTTTACTTACATTTTTAAATGTGGACTGTAAAGTTATCAGATGGTAGAGGCAGAAATCAAAGGAGACACAATCTCATGTTTTCTTCACTTTTGCCACAACTTTTTTTCTTTGCAGGAGTTTTGAGATTCCTTTATCTGTGCTCCTTAGAACGTTCAGTGAAACAAACTGAACATGCCATCATGTTGAAACCCTTGATTTAGAAGATGGTGAGATGAAATATTTAATTTCTTGTTTTTCTATTTATATATATTGTTCTTTTTTATTATTTTATTATTATTTACAGAATCAAGAGCACTAACGAAGCTGAAAATGAAATGTTAAATTGGGAGACAGCGGCATACTGTGAAAGCTGCCCGTATCAAGGCTCCATACAGGTGTTTCAGTTTCTATATTCTCCTTTCCTTTGCCATGGCTAAAAGTGCAGAGGTAAAGCTTGCAGTGTTTGGCCGAGCTGGAGTGGGAAAATCAGGTAGGCTTTGCTTTATCAATATTTACCAGATCAATCACAGTGTGTTCTGTTCTTTTTCAAGGTATTTTAGAAATGTGTTATAAGACGTACTAGTTCTTTGTGATTAACATTATAAAACTTAACATATTGTTAACAAATATGTGAAGGTTTTGTCACTAGTTATTTCACAAGATTCAGTCCCTTGTACAGTATAGTTTTCACATTTTGTTGCTTTAAAGCTTGCAGTCTTGGCATTTTGTAGTAGTTAATATTTGTTATATACACAACCTACTACACATATTCAAAGCTAAAAGCAAAAATAAAGAAGTAAAATAATAATGTATATGAAATAAAAAAATGGTTTGACTGCATAAAGATTAAAACCCTTTGCTGTGACAAACCTAAACTGATTTAGGGCCACAAAACTATTTTAACAATAGATATGATTAGTTTAGTGGCCCTGTCGAAGTCCTGACTTGAATCCTTTTGAGAAGCAGTGGAAAGAGTTGAAAACTACTGTTCGTAAGTGTTCCCCAAGATTGAACAAATCTGCCGATAGGAGTGATAAATAAATTGCACGAAGCCAGTATGCAGTTGGTAGAGACTGATCCAAAAAGACTTGCTGCTGCCAAAGGTGCTTCCACTAAATATAAAGTTCAAGGGTTTGGATACTCATGAGATCAAAATATTTCATTTTTTCTCTTTAATTTATTGCTGACATTTGCTGTAAATTATCTAAGTTTTAGACGTCTTTAGTTTTAGCATTTACATTTTGAATAAAATATTAAAATTATGTATGCATTTGGAATTTCATAAAATGGAACTCCATAGGTAGGATGTAAGTAATTTTGCAAGACACTGTATACCTTTTGTCACTAATATAAAAATGCTTTATGCATTTTTTCTGTTTTGGTTATTAGCCTTTTAATATTACTTTCTTTACTACAGTTAAGGAAATATGTTTTAAATACTATGCCCGTAATCATGTGTATTTGAAAGATGAATTCAGGGCTGAAAGTTCCCCATTTAAATAAATATCTGGGGAGACTGAGTTGCTATGGCACAGCATACAAGATAATGTGTTTATTACTCATACGGTATACTGCTAGAACTGGTGAATTAGTTCAAAATCTCATAATGTATAAGTTTAATTATCAGACTTATTTTCTGTGCGATACTGTTGATAAACCCATAAAAGTTAACTACTTCCCAGAGTAATATGCCCTGTGTAGTATCTTATATTGCAAGTTTGGTCATATGGGAGACATATAAATACTGTTTTCATATTTATATATACTGTAAATATATTTGGGCAGATCAATTGCCAACTATCTGTATCTGCTTGGATATTGAGATCTCTGTTGCTGTAATATCCTAATTATACTGGAATTCTAGAAACAGCATAGAAGGAAATGTGCCACTTGTTTGTCTTTTATCTTTCATGATCTTTCATTGGATTTTAGATGAATAGAAAGACTGCCATAAAAATGAAATGAAGGAAACAGCAAATATTTTCAAGATTTCATATAGACAGAAGATAAACCGTACAAACTCCATGATAAGCACTACACCTGTGAGTGGGCAGGCATCTATTGGTCAGCACTCAAGACTGTCTACGCCAGTGTTCTTTGAAAACTATTGAAATCACTATAACAGCTATTAAAAATATTTTAGAACCAGACAGCTTTTGCATTTGCCACATCTAGCAAAAGCAATTTAATAGTCAATTTCATTTCCAACTAGAATTAGCAAAACCATTTCATTTTTCATCTCTGGCCTTTGAAAACCTTTAGAAATCCCTGAAAAATGCCAAAAATACTGTAATTTTATTGCCATTTTGGAACTGCATCTGTGTTGCTTATTAACAATGAACAGCTGTGGATCTGTTGAATTATTACCTTACCTTATACCCAAAAATCTGCACATTTTACAACATATGAAGTACAAAGTACATAATAAATTATGTGAAACATTTTATTTTGAAGTGGATATTAATTTATTTTCCAAAGACAAGTACTGTATTGCAATACTACATAACCTGTATAGTCCCTCCATTTTTAGTCCATCCAGCTCTAGCCAGTACAGGGTTGCAGGGGCTGCTAGAGTCTAACCCTGGGCAAGAAGCTGATGCAAGGTGGGATACACACTGGACAGGACACCAGTCCACTGCAGGGCACACACAGACAAACACATATTGTACGACCACTTGTACCAGGGCCAATTTTTGTCCAATGTCTTTGTGGGAAGAAACTGGAGCACCCAGAGGGTTACAGCTGATAGTACCATAGTGACAATACAATAACTCAAACATAAAAGTATTCTGGTGGCATGTTGGCACAGTGGACAGCATTGCTGGCCCACAGCGTTGGGGCCCTGGGTACAATTCCTGGGGTGCTGTCTGTGTGGAGGTTCTATATTATACCCGTATTTGCATGGCTTTCCTCACAGTTCTCCGGTGGACATTTGCTTATTTCTATGCAAAAAAACATAGTCTTACTTTTTACCTCTGAATACTTGATAAATTCTTCCATTTTCTAACGGGTTCTTTCAATTCAGGGTCTCAGGGGAGCTGGAGCGTATTCCAATGGGTGCAAGGCAGTATTCACCCTGGACAGGACAGCAGTTCATTGCAGATAACACACAAACATACACACACTTTCCCAGAAGCCAGTTAACCTACCAGTATGTCTTTGGACGGTGGGAGGAAACTGGAACACCTGGTGGGAATCCTCACAAACACGGGGAGAATGTACGAAATCTACACTGATACCTGTAGCTCCTCAGGTCCAGGATTAAACCCAAGACCCCAGCGCTGTGAGGCAGGACTGCTAACCACTGCGTCACCGTGCCACTCTATAAGATTGTCTCTATACCTATTGAAGTCAAGTTATCGATAATCACTGTCTATGATTTCTAACCATACTTTGTTGCAGTCTACGCAGTCATACTTCTACCTCTAAACTGGTTCACGCATGCAACTGTCACGTATGTCGGAAAGGATGAACCGTGGAATAGCAGGAGAGCGAAAATCGACCCTATGCGTAGCGGCGAGACGGGGGTTAGCCCGGGCTCAGCTGTTCAGGAAATGCCGCATAGAAACCTCAGGCCAAGGACAGGAGTGACCTGGTGCTAGGCGGGTCTCAGGACATCTGAACCTCAATGCTGAGCGAGTAGCAGAGCAGAAGCAGGAAGTAAATAGGCTACACAACAAGACACACCAGAAAGACATGAATAATCACAGGGAACTAAGAACAGGAGAAAAGTAGAGCGCCCTCTAGGTGGACTGGGTGTGACAGCAACACAAAATGGGTGGATGTTTGTGGCCGACTCTCAGCCTACTATTGTGCTGGAACAGATAGACCCATGAATCTCCACTTAACACAAGATTACACCAGATTATATTTGGCCAGTTTCTGGTGGAATGTCTTCATAACCAGGCATGAACATTGATTTCTTCCAGTTATTTAGTACCAAGGCAATGTGAATGGTAGACTTGTTGGAGCTGATCTGGCCATGGTGTCATCCAGGTCTCCCTGTGACAGTTTGGAATCTTGGGTAATGTTGATCCCAGAGATGCCTCCTCAGTCAGATACAGTACATGTACAGTATAGGCATCTTGTACAGGTATCGCAGTCCTGGTTAGTGTCCGTCATTTGAATGAATCAAGACTCCAGGCGTAATATTATCAGCCAGTGCATACTAGAGTGCCTCGTGATACCAGGACTTGATATCCTGGCATTTGGCAATCTAATGGCCTCTTCCCTTTTACCATGGGGCAGTTGTCCATTGGGGTTTAGCTACAGTATGATAAGCACACATACCTCCCAACTTTTTGTACCCACACGTGTATTAACAGCAACATCTTCAGAAACACATCCACCTTTGCTTGTCAGCAAACCATTGTGTAAAATATGTTTTTTTTTTCATATTTGATTAAATGATTGTTTGGAAAATTAAGCTAATTTAAGGATTTTATAGGTGTTTTTTGAATATATACTGTACTGTACATACGAAATAACGGATCCAGATCGTTGCATTTTCAGTGCCTCTCGGCACATGCAGCACATGCAAAGCAGAAATGCAATTTGTTAAGTTACAGTAATTTCCCAAAAATATTACTATTATTTTTATGATCACTGTTTTCTCATCCAGAGAAACTTATGATGTACCAGGAGTTAAAACAGATGTATTATCATAATTAAAACATGTGCGTTAATGCCAGAAAGCCTGAATTGTGAAAATTAGAAAAGCAGAAGCTTTAAATGAATGGAATGTAACAAGGAAAGGCTAAGGGGCTTTATCACCAAATCATTTAAAACTCTTTGTCAGTTCCTTTAATGTTCTTAACCAATGATTTAATTAGTGTTGAGAGCCTTGTACCTTTGGGATTGGAGAACAATTTCTTGCAAAGGCATGGGAAAGCATAATGAGGTACTCTGCTGTACATCTGTAGATATGAGTGGAAGTGCTACAAGTGCTCGGCTTTGTCTGTAAAATATCCAGTAGCTAGGGTTGGAAATTAGGCTAGTAATGTGTAGAAGGTGAACTAACCAAAGGGTTTTGTCATTCGTGATGAATTTCCAATTTATCATCATGCTCTCCAAATTTGTTACTCTCAATTTTCATTTAACTTTCTCACCCCTGTGATCTGCAGAGCACCATGAAAAAGGCATTGATGAGCTACCAATCTCTACCTGTTTCACACTGCTGACACCAGCGGACAGGATTGAACAGAGGACTGGTGCTGTTTTTGCTGATGATAGTGCAGGATTACAGGCAGTGTCAAATCACAGGAAATGGCAGTGCTGTCCTGTTATCTACTGCCTCCACGATCACAGTTAGCTATAGACCTAACCCACACTCAACCATGCAATATCTGTATTATAGGATTAAGGGATGAACAACTGTTGAGAATAAACAGCTGTTTTCTTTAATTGATTAATTATGGATAATCTTATAATATGTTATGAGGAAAACTGTTTTGTTTATAGTATAAATTATAATAATATATGGAATATAAT